CCCCAAAACCCCAAAACCCCAAAACCCCAAAACCCCTTGCCAAGGTTATATAATTGCTAGTTAATAATGGAGCCAACAGAATATATCGAGAGTGAAAATACTTCAGATAGTAAGGTGTTTACCCTCTATGAAAGCCATGATTATATCTGTATTGCCAATGGAATTGACTCTAATAAAGAAATTGAGTAAGTACGAGCATTTGCCTTATTTTTCCAGTAGTTTTCATGGAACCTCTAGAAAACAGGAAGGAGAGCCTTTGCAGTGAATCCAGATTGACCGGAATACACATGAACTATCTGAAGTTACTGATCCCTTAAGGGCTCAGAATTTTCTTGAGGAACTAAGAATTGGGACTGCTAAGCAAATCAAAATTAATGGCATTATTGGATTTGTCTATATTTACAAGTTCCTTTACTTCTGAGTAATCACTAAAAGCAGAAATGTGGGGTGTATAATACCTGGCAGGGATATCTACTTCATTGAAAAGGTCAAATTCTTTCCTGTGCTAGTAACCCTCTTAAACTAACCTCTTAGCCAAAAAACAAGAAGGAGTCGAAGGAAGCACATAATTGCATGAAGTGCATGAAGAAGGTAAGGCATGTTATTAAAAATTATTTGACAAATTTGCTGAAATTTTATAGTATTTCATGAGCGGCTTCTACTACTCCCACAACTACAATCTACTGGTCAGCAGGGAGCGGTTCCAGAAATTGGAGGAGAGTGAGAAGGCCATGGACTGGAGCAAATTTGATAATGACTACTACTGGAATTTTCACATGAATGAGACAAAACAGATACCTCTTAAATGGAGGACTATTGTAGTTCAAGGCTACTTCTTTCAACAGTATTTGAGCCTTGAAGGGAAAGGAACCATCAAACTAGGCTGATTATCTCGGAGAAAGTGTAAACGCGGTGGCACTAGACTCAATGCCCGTGGCATCGATGATTCTGGATATGTAGGAAATTTTGTCGAAACTGAGAGCTTTATTATAATCGACGGCGAATTAAAAATTTTCACACAGATCCGAGGATCAATACCGTTATTTTGGAAACAAGAAGGACTCAAAGGAGCTGTAAAATTTAAGCGAGACCCATCTAATTCCTTAAAAGCAATGAAAAAGCATTTCTATCAGCTACAGGAGGAGTATGGGCCTGTGCTAATGGTCAACTTACTCAAAGAAACTTCTGCAAGGGAAGACCTTCTCTCTACAAATATCAAAAAGTTGCTTCATGAACATATTGAAGATATTGGTGACATTTCATACTATCATTTTGATTTCCATTCTAATGGGATCAAGAATCTGTTCAAGATACTTGAAGGAACAAAGGAGTTTATCAACAGCAATAAGTATTATTCAGAAGAAATAGACTCCGGTAGTGTCACAAGAAACCAGAATGGAGTTGTTAGAACAAACTGAATGGATTGACTAGATCGAACAAATTTCTCCCAAACAAAACTTTATCTATTTGCCCTACAGAAACAACTTCTTGACTCTGGAGTTGACCTTGCTGGTCTATATGGACCAGCAGATTACGAAGATGATGGACTTCCTTTTGGTCAAAACATTCGAGAAAACCCTCTTGTAAGAAGTATCAACAGTTTTTGGGCTGATAATGGAGATTTCATCAGTTTGCAATACACTGGGACCAACTCCACAATCACAAGGGTCATGAAAGAAGGCAAGAAAGGATTTATCTCAGCTCTGAATCATAAATATCAAGATGTTAACAGATTTATCAACAACAACTTTACAGATGATTTCAAAGAGAAATGCATCAAAATGATCTTAGGTTTATGCAAATACTCTGGTCCAAATGGCTCAACCAAAGGCACGATTGACAAAGAGAGGCTCCGGAACTTCTCATTATCCGCCCTCACATGGAATGTGGGAAATAGTGACCCTAAGAAGTATAGTACGATTTATGACCAATTTCCGACATTTTCTGAGAGTGATATAGTCGTGGTGAGCCTCCAAGAAATCATAAAATTGAGCACCATGAATGTATTGAGGAAATAAGAACGGAGAAGCCATTGTTAACTGGATCTCAGTTTTCTCCACAATTCTTGGTGAACACTTTATTCTGATATCTCAGAAAGCTCTCGTTGGTGTCCTTGTACTGGTTTTCCTAAAGAAAGAACACAGTTCTCACCTCTGAGATGTCTATGTTACTGAACAAAAGCTTGGATTTAAAAATAGTTTTGGCAACAAAGGAGCTGTTGCGATCAGAATTGGCATTAACAACACAAAATTTTGATTCATAGGCTGACACCTTGAAAGTGAAGCCACCAATCTGAAGAAACGAGTCAAGCACGTTAACCAGCTTCATAAAGAAAAAGGGTTCATGAAGGATTTATTCGATAAAAGAGAAATTTCAGAATTTAGTCATAAAAAGAAAAAGTTCTCTCCATTTGATATCTTCGATTATGTCTTCTTGACAGGGGATCTCAATTTTAGGATTCTTAACAGTGAAGGTATCATTGTAAAATATATTGAGGAAAACCGTCTGGAAGAACTCCAAGCTTTCGATGAGCTGGCAAGCCTGAGGACTCATCATGATTATTTGAAATAAATATGATGAAGGAGAGATTAAGTTCAAACCAACCTACAAATATCAGGTAAGCAGTGACCCACCTGCTTACGATATCAAGAAGGATAGTCTTCCGTCATATTGTGACAGGGTGCTCTACAAGTCAAACCCTGATATTTCTTGAAAGAGGTATGATTCAATCAACTGTACAGTTTCTGATCATCTACCGGTGGTTGCTGATTTTGTCCTCCATGTCGATGGCATCGACTTGGTTGAGGACAATAGTTATATCCTCGAACAAACCCAGACTATTGAAGAGACCAAAGTGAGCCTAAGCCGAGAAGACTCTGAAGATGAGGACAACCAGCTTGATTTTCTAGAAATAGAAGCTAATTATTGCAGACTTTCCAAGACAGTCAGACCAAGAGGCCCAGGCCAAGGAAACGATAGAGTTATTAGCTGAAATTTAGATGGACAATGGGGTGGTACTCTAGATATCATCAATGAGGAGCATGGAGAAGGATCAAAGTATACCTCTAGAGGGTCACTAACTCTTTCATGGCTTCTTACTAAGCAGATTAACAAGAATCCTTCTGAAGTTCAAACACAATTAGAAGAAGAGAAGAAAGATGGCAATTCCAGTCTTTCATCTTCTTCTGAAGATGTTGGTGAGCAGCAATCTGATGGAAAATCTTTGAGTGAATCATGGTTTGAACCAATCCCATCTCCCAGTGTAGTTGCACCTACTCAAATAAAACTGAAATATGAACAGAAGTAGATAATAATCAAAGAAGTAATAGCAATTAATATTTGAATATTGTTTTAATTCTCACTTCTTGGTATTATCGACAAGAAGAAACCATCTAAAGGTCAAAAATAATTTTCAATAATTACGTAGAAATTTGGGGTTTTGGGGTTTTGGGGTTTTGGGGTTTTGGGGTTTTGGGG